GGGGTCTTCAGGATTTATAGTCATCGATCTCCTGGCCCTCAGAGCTAAAGCCAAACGAAGCTCCATTTTCATGCCCTTGTCTTCGTGGAACCTTCCAGGCACCACTTTTGAGAGGCCCTGGCTCCAGCATCTATCTTATAGCTGGTGGCAGGCTCTGAAATCATGATAACACCTACTTTACTTTTCTTTTGTGTATCTTGGATGTTCTTTATTAATTTCTGGAAAAGATTTTATTTATTTGCCAGAGAGCGAGAGACGAAGAACAGGAGCAGGGAGAGCTGCAGGCAGAGGGAGAAGCAGGACCCACGCTCAGCAAGGAACCCATTGCAGGACTTGATCCCAGGACCCTGGGATCATGACCTGAGCTGAAGGCAGATGCTTAACTGACTGAGCAACCCAGGCATCCCAACACCTACATTTATTGAGTACTGTGCCAGCAGCATGCTGAGTTTGTCATTCTTTTTTAAACCTCAAGACATTCCCAAAAGCTAGGTTCTGTTATTAAGTCCATTTCTCTGATGAGTAAAACAAAGGCCTGGAGAGGTTAAGTAACCTGCCCAAGGTCATGTAGCTAGTAAGCCATGGAACTGGGGTGTGAATTCTGCCACAGGTGCTTGAAGAGGCATTATCAGAGAAACTTTGGGTGAACATACAATCCTGGCTCACTCCCCTCTGTTCTGCCTTGCCCCCACCAGCTCCAGGATCTTCTGAGCCACTAAGCTAACAGGAGTGGCCTGCCTATCCCGAGCCCTAGCAAAGTGGGCTCAGCGTCCGGAGGAACAGAGGCAGCCTTGTGGCAGGAGCTCCCCCCCCCCGCCCCCCGCCCCAGCACCACCCTCCTTGGTTGGGTCCGTTTCAACACCCCAGAGCAGCACATTCCATTCTCTGGCACAGCTGGGGGTTGGGGATTCCGGATTCCCCTGGCTGCTTGCTCTCTTCAGGGCCCCAGCAGAGCTTGCTGTCTGGGCTGGGATGCTGGGTCCCAGCCACATACATTCCAGCAGCAATCACCCCCCACGTTGGATTTCCCAAAGAGTGAACTTTAGCCAGGATTACAGCCAACTAAACAGTTGTGGGTTGTGAGCTTCCTTTGTGGGCCTCAAGAGCCTGGATGCTGATAGGGAGGAGGGGTGGCGGGGTTAGGGGTGGGCTGCTTTGGGTCAGGAGCAAAGCCGAAGTCAGGCTGGCTCCTCTGTTGCTGTCAGGGCCTTTGGAGTGGGACCTGAGCAGGACTGCCAGAAATCTTCCTGTGAGGCAGGGTGGCTGAGGCTTTGCTGTCTGTCCTCCCCTGACGCCTCTGGGCTTCGCCCCCTGCAGGCGGTAGTATAGTGGTTGAGAACCTGGGGCCAAGTCCTAGTACCACTACATGGACCACTACTGTGTACTCTGAAGCGTGTCCTTCAGTAAGCTCACGAACCTCTCTGGTCCTCAGCCTCCTCCTCCTTAAAACGGGGATAGTAATGCTTACCTCTGAGGGCTGTTGGCAGGCTTAAATTAGAATACCAGAGTGAGGGGCACCTGGGTAACTCATTGGTTGAGCGTCCAGCTCTTGATTTCAGCTCAGGTCAATGTGATCTCAGGGCCATGAGACTGAGCCCCGTGTCCGGCTGTGTGCTCAGCACACAATCTGCTTGAGGATTCTCTCTTTCTCTCCCTCTGCCCCTCCCCTCTCATAGGGGTGCGATTGCTTGCTCTATCTTCCCTATCTCCCCCCACCCCCGCCTCGGTAAAATAAATAAACAAAATTTTTAAAAAGAAAAATATAAGAATCCCAGAGTGCTTGGAATAGTGCCTGTCACCCAGCATGGGCTTGGAATTTATTATGTCTTCTCCCTGCTGTTGGCTTACATACCCCTTGGGGAGGGGTGTATTTTCTTTTCCTTTTTTTTTTTTTTTTTAAAGATTTTTATTTATTTATTTGGCAGAGATCACAAGTATGCAGAGAGGCAGAGAGAGAGGGGGAAGCAGGCTCTTTGCTGAGCAGAGAGCCCAATGTGGGGCTCGATCCCAGGACCCTGAGATCATGACCTGAGCCTAAGGCAGAGGCTTAACACACTGAGCCACCCAGGCGCCCCGAGGGGTGTATTTTCTGAAGTAAAACGCCAAGTGTAGGCTCTGTCCTGAAAGTAACAACTCTGGGTTTTAGATGAGATGTTCCTACCTCTTCTCTGCCTTCCTGCCAGTAGGTTTCTTAGTTAATAAATCAGTTAGGAATGTACTGGTATGTATGGGCACCATGCTAGCCAGGTCAAGGCCTTTGGTTAATAAAAATATCAATTACTATTTAATGAATATCTTCTAAATGCTGGGCACTGGTTTGAGGAACTTGTCATATGTTATTCCCAGTTAACACTCAGCCAGCCTGCGAAATAGACATTATTCCGTCATTTAGTAGTTGGGCAGTGTTCCCAATGTCACATGGTCACCAAGTCACAGGATTGGAACCCAAAACTGGGCTCTACTACCTCTCTTCAACCTGATCCAGGGTACTTCTTCTTCTTCTTCTTTTTTTTAATTTCAGATTTATTTATTTTTTTAGAGTGGGGAGAGGGGCAGAGACAGACAGAAGCAGACTCCCAGCTGAGTGTGGAGCCCTATGCGGGACTCAGTCTCATGACCATGAGATCATGACCTGAGCCGAAATGAAAAGTCGGATGCTTAACTGACTGAGCCATGTAGACACCCCAGATCCTGAGTATTTAGCAGCCTGCCCCAAATCCTTCCTGTTCTTTATCAGAACTCTGATTTTGTACTCAACTGAAACACCTGACTTCCTCTGCTTCCTCGCACCTGGGGGTGGCCATGTGACTTAGTTCTGGCCGGGGAGCTAAAAGTGGAAATCTACCAGGTGGGACTTGTTGGGAAATTACTGTTTTCCTGATCAAAAGGGCCAGAGGCAGCTGACATGCTGTTTTGCTCCTCTTCTCTGCCTCGCTGCCTGGCATGTGGTTAGAAGTGGGGAGGAGGAGGCACTGTTTGTAACCAAGAGAACGGAAGCTGTCTCCTGGCAGAGCAGGAAGACAGAATGAGCCTGGGACACGGACCTCACACCTGTCTGTCTCTAGCCCTCTGGTGTGGAGAAGCCCCACTGTTTCTTGGGGTTTCTGTCAGATGTAGTCATTCGCTGACACACAGCCCAGATGCTCGCTGGGCAGCAGCAGCTGTCTGTTTCCAGACCAGCCAGGAGGGAGTGTGTTGTGGCTGAAGGAAATGAAGGGTGGGCTCAGGCCTTGTGGGGCTTCCCCTCCTTTTGGGGAGGATTCTTCTTGGTCCCAGGAAGAGATTGCTGGGGGGTCTGACAGCAGATGTTGGGGACAGAGCTGATGTACAGAGCAGAGCCAGACCCCTGTGTCGGGGGGGCCGAGGACTGTCTTACTGGGGCTTCCCGGGATGGGCGAGGGGAGCCCCTCCCCTGCCTGCTCCATCTCGCTGGCTGCCAGCACCTGACAAAGGTCAGTATTGTGCTCCCGCCAGAAGTAGCTGGAGTCTTGTCTATTCAGTGGAAAAATAATTCCTGGTCCTGGTTGACCATAGAAGTGTCCATAAATATTTGGTCGGGGTAGGAGGCTGGGAGACAAGGGGCAGATTCAGGGAGCTGTGGGCTGGGCAGGCTTGGGGTGAGGGTGGGTGGCGGTGGCTTCCTCAGAGTTGAGAGAAACAAGCAGGCCTCTGCTGCTCCTGACCTGCGGCCAGGCCACTGACTGCCCAGGGCGGAGATTTATGGGCAGGCTGTCAGACCACCTGTTAGCTCACCCTGGCCCCACAGCAGAACGGGGGCCCTTTGGCCTTCCTCGTTTCTCTGTGGCATCGTGCTTCTCCGAGAGCCCTGGAAGCCAAGTCCTCGTAAGAGAACGCAGCTGCGCTGTGTTGGAGGAGCAGGAAGCCCTGCCTGGGCTGGGCAGCTGGACCCTCACTGGTGAGGAAAGCTGCTCTGGGAGCATCCCCAGCCTCCTGCCCTGGATACATCTGCCGTGTCCCTCAGCATCTGCTGAGAGTCTGTTTCCAAAGGCTGGACGTTTGAGTGGCAGGAGCCTTTTGCCTCCATTTTAGGCCTTCTGCCCTCCCTGCCCCATTCAGCTCCAGGCGCAGCACCATCTGCTCCGAGTTCGCTGAAGAAGCCCTCAGTCGTCACAGGCACTGCTTCCTGCATGTAGGACCGAGACCCAGCCTGAGGTCACCCCAGCAACCCCCACCCCCCGCTGCCTCAGCTATTGGCTCATCTAGATTGCGGTCTTCAACCCAGGCTGCATACCACCCGGGGAGCACCTAGAGATTCAGATTTCTGAGCACCCTCAAGAGATTCCAAGTTGGTTGTTGCAGAGTGGGGTCCCCTATTTGGCAAGCGCTCTCTAGATGATTTGAAGATTTATGTGTTAAAATGCGGTTTCGGATACAGTAGGTGTGGGGTGGGGACCGAGCTTTTATGTGTTTTCTCCCTGGCTCCCAGGGGCTCCTGCCCTTCTGGTTCCTGTGGCACAGGTCTACACCGTTATCCCTGCAGGTCAGGACTGGTGCCCAGGGGCAGTCTGAGTGCCGAAGGGGTAGGAGGTGACACCTCTAGGCCCTTGGCTCTTCAGAGTAGTTCCCTGTGGTGCAGCCTTCTTGGGATCTGAGGAGGAGGCAAGGTCATGTTGTGGGACTGTGGGAGCCCTTTGACCATGGGAGAAGTCTGGGGATCTTGGTGTCTCTCTTCCTCTTCAGGAACAAGAGGACGGTCATCTCCATTTGTCACAGTGATGGGGATGAGAAGGGTGATCACTGTGTGCTCTCAGGGGACCTTAGGAGAATAGGGGCATTGTTCTTTGGCAAGTATGTCTGTGTGGATGGGCCATGGGCTATGACAAGGAATCTCTTTCTAAAAGTCCCTTCTGAACCTTCCTCTCCCCACCTTTGGGGCCAGCTGACAAAGAAATAACCTAGTCAAAACCAACTTGGTTTTTTGTTTTTTTTTTTTTATTTAATTAAAAACTTAAAAAAATTAGAAACTGAGCCTTGCCTGCATCAGATCTAGTGCCTGCGGTGGCGATAATTTAATCATCATCAGGGTAATGGGGACATGCAGAGGCTGAGGGATGAACCCTAAAAAGCGGCCTCTGGGAGGGAGTCTGGGCTGGGCCTGTCTCCAGTCTAGCAGGGAGGGGATGGGGAAGGTGGGGAGCTGTGGCTGGAGGGCACTGTGACCCTAATGCCTCTCTTTTGGGGGACTATGATGACATGAGTGGGCAGTGTGGGTAGGGAGCTGTCCCACAGATAGCTCAGCCTAGTACTGAGACTTTCCTCTTCAAGGCAAGGCCTCACCACCAGCAGAGGGGAGCTGACACCAGGGTCTGCTCAGGAAACTGTCTCCTTGGGCTGCTCAGAGCCCCTCAGAGCTTCCCTCGCGCTCTTCCACTCTTTCTGAAACGCTGGGGTTTCTTCCCAAATGAGAAAGCCCTGCTCCGAAGAGAAGAAGGCCCCAGGGGCCCCCAAACCCCTCAGTCACCGACAGCTCAGGCTCCATGCCCATTCCTTAGGGCCTGTGCTGGTAACGACTGCATGAAACCACTCAGGCAGGGGCTGGGTCAGCCTGGGAATAGGGGTGAGGCTAAGTGGGCAAGAAGGGAGTGTGCCCCCCGGGGGTGGGGAGAGGGCAAGGCACAGCTGGCTGGGTGGGGCAGGGAGCAGCGGCCTTCAGTGGGGTTCGGCAGCCCCATAGAAGAAGGGGTAGTATAGGGAGCAGGGGTAGGAGAACATGAATTTGACTGCAAACTTCATCTCCTTATTCTTCTTGTCCCAGCGGTAGACGGCCATGAGTAGCAGCTGCCCGTCCACCTTGCGGCCCATGACCAGGAAGCTGCCGGCCAGGCTGTCCAGCTGCGGGCAGGGGCAGCTGGCGCCATTCTTCATGTGCAGCACCAGCCGCTTGGTGTCCTTCCGCTTCAGGGGGCCTGGCTTGAGCAGCTTCTTCTTTTTCTGGGCTCCAATCAGCTTCTGGTCCCCATTCTCTATCTTGATCTCCTTGATGCGCATTTTAACCACTGTGTGTGTGCAGAGAGGGTAGACGGAGGGGCAGGGTGAGGACGGATGGGTTCGCTCAGGCTGCTCTCAGGCCCCCAGTGGGTGCCTGTGCCTGAAGTTCCACACCTGGGCCTCGGGGAGGTAGACTTCATGATCCCTGGACTGACTTCCAGATCGGATTTCTGGCTGTGTGTGTGTGTGTGTGTGTGTGTGTGTGTGTGTATGTAGCCGTGGTGGGTGGGCTGGTAAATGTTTGACAGCTGGCCCTGGGGAGGGGTCCTGCTCTGTAGCACTGGCTGGTTTCCATGAGGTCTGTGCCCTGCCACTGGGGCCCACCGCATCATGGGGTGCTGGATTGAGCAGCGTGCACACGACCAGCTCTTGCTGGTGTGAACACACCACTGTGACCTTTGTGAGACTGTATCGTACGGGTGGGAGTGTGGTGTCTGGGGCTGTGTGTTTGATATTGGACAGTATGTCTGTGGTGTGTCTGCAGGGTGGGGGTGGGGGACGGGGAGATGCTTGAAGGCAAGAGGGTGGTCGGGGTGACCATCCAGGGTACACATGGTGGCTGTAGAGAGCCTAACATAGTTAGGGGTTGGGAGTCTGGAACTTGGGCAGGTCACTTAGGCTCATCTCCCACTTCTTCACGCCCCTGGACCCCCATCTCTGTGAGCAGCCAGGGAGATGCCCGAGAATGACTCTGTTCACCCGGGGAAGGAAACTGTTGTAAAATCTCTTTCAGTCTTTCTCTTTCTTTCCTTAACCACTCTCTTGTTCTCTCTTGGACACACACACTCACACACACACACACTCACCCCTTGCAATAGGAGTATTCTCTTTCCAAACGGACTAATGACCTAGAAGACTGTAAGGATTTCATTGCTATCTCTTTTTTACAGACAGGGAGGCTAAGACACAAAACAGCAGCCAACTTGGCAAAGGCCACATGCCGGGTCGTGTGGTCCTGACTAGACTTGGCTCACTGTCCCAGGAACGGAGAGGCTCCAGGATGAAGGCGTGGGACAAGTGACCACGGTTCCCCTGGCCAGAGGTGCATCGGGTACCACGCAGAGGCGCCCAGGGGCGAGGGTGCTTCACTTCTATCCTGGGGCCCAGCTCTTTCCCTGCTGCTCCCAGCCATCTCCAGGCTTAGCTTGCTTTTCCTAAAGAGAATCCAGCCCTGGAGGGCCCTCTGTGGGCAGGTCAAGGGAGGGCTGCAGGAGCCTTGGCCAGGAGGGGTTTTGGGGCCCATGGGCCATGGCCTTGAGGGGCTTCTGAAGCCTCTGGGATGACCTACAAAATGAGGTGCATTTCTTCGGCCAGACAGTTCATGATCTTGATCAGATTCTAAAAGGGACCCAGGATGCAAAAACTGTTAGTATTCACTATGATGGTTATGGACATGGGTGTTCATGTGTGGGTGCATGTGTCAAGGAGGAAAAGAATCAGGGCAGTGGGCACATGGGCTCCACACTCACCAAAATCGCTGGAACACATCTGCTCCATGAGGCCGTCGGCACTGTGCTCCATCTCACACTGGGCACAGATCTTGGTCACTGAAGAGAGAAGCAGGGGTGGTGTCGAGGGAGGCTGATGAGGGGATCGGAGCCCGAAAGCCATTCGCCACCTGAGGAGCCACCGCCCCCTGCCAAGCCTCCACTCTCATCAGGAAATGGGACGATGGTAAGGGTGCTCACTGGGTAGTTGTGAGGTTCAAAAGAGACAAGGTTGCTGGGGGACAAAACTGCCTCCGTGGGCACAATTGCTCTGTGACCCTAGCACCTGCCACCACGATGTGCATTGTCTTCTAAATTTTGTTTCATTTAATCCTCAGCCTCTGAAGTATTCCTATTAAAGAAAAGAAAACTGAGGTCCAGAGTGGGTACCCAAGTCTGCAATACTATTGCGAACTGAGCTTATAACTCAGGATGGGGGTTGTCTACAGGGTCTTCCTAGGGACACAGAGTCTGGGCAGGAGGGGAAACAAGTGACACTGGCAGGACAGGGACTGTGGTAAACTGAGGAGCATCACCCTCTAAGGTGGGCACCTTAGCATTGCCAGGATTTCTGGGGTCTCAAAGGAAGCCCAAGCTCTTAATTTTTATATGAAATAGTTTCAGTTTTATTGTGGGCCATACAAACCCTTCAGGCTGCCTCTGGTTCTCAGGCCCACATGGCACCTGCCCTCTGTCCTATGTCTCTGTCTCCAACTGGGTGCCCCATCACAGGGGAAGGCAGGCTTCAGAGAGGGCAGTGCCTGGTAGGATTCTGAGCCTGAGCCCAGGACTTCCCTGTCTTCCAGGCTGTTAATGCATGGCTTCCAAGGAAACCAGAAAAGGAACCACACCGGGATCCCTGTAGGGACTGTGCTATCCCTGCTTGAGCTGGCTTGCTCTCCCCTGCTTCCTGGTCCCATTTCCAACCCAAGAATAGGGGTTTTCCCGTCTCTCAACACTCCCCCGTGATAGGACCCCTACCCAACTGTGACTCTCAGGAGGGACATGGGGGTGTAGGACCAAGGGCTACATGGATGAAGTTAGCCCTGGCGGCGGAGGGAGGGGGACAGGGTGTGGTGGAGTCCAGTTGCCTTTTGTTGCATCAAATAAGATGGGAAAGCAGTACTGCCCCTTGGGGGAGTCCCAGCATCAAGGGCTCCTTAGGCTCTCGAGTCAACTGCCCAGTCTTCTGTCTTCTGCTCAGTGCCACTGCTGGTTCTCCTGTCTGCTGCCCAACCCAGCCTTACTCTGCTTGCAAGGAGTTTGGGGGTGGGAGGTGCACAGTGAAGGGAGGCTGAGACCAGGGAGGAATTAGGGGTAATTAGGGACTTGGGGTGGGTGGGAGGTGGCACTTAGGAGCTCACAATTTTTGGAACCTGAGCTCACTTCCTATATTACTTATGGAAAAACTGAGGCTCAAAGTTTAGGCAACTCTTGAGGGATCCTTGTTAGTGGCAGAGTCTGGCAATCTGCTCTTTCTTCTGCACTGAGCTTTACCCCAAGGTCTCCTAGCCTGGGGGATTAGGGAAGAGAGTGGGAGAATTTAGGGTTCCCAGGCATGGAAAATGGTGTGTGTGGGGGTGGGTATAGCAGGGAAATGTGCTTACCCCACAGTTTTCCCCCATATCCTTTCCCTCAGCCCTCAACAGGAGGAGGGGTTGGTGAGTCTTGTTTTGGTGCCTTGGGGTCCCGAGCTGTGTTGGAGGTGGACGGGCCTGGGCATTGTTTAGCGACTCTAGGCATTCTTAGGCTGAGAGAGGCCATAAGACATTTATGGGGATGCCTCTGGATAGGGGGACAGCTTTGCGGCTACGCAGGGATTCCAGCGTCTTTGGAAGGTGAGCGTTGGGAGGGATGCCAGGGGCGTATTCAGGAACGGAATCGGAATGGGGAGAACCAGTGAGCATGGCCAGAGCTGCGGGGAGGCACTACCCTGGGAGTCTGAGAAGGCTGCAAGACTGGTGGGGTCGGGGAGGGGGGGCAGGGGCGGAGGTGCAATTCCTGGGGCATGCAGGGCTGAGAGAAGGCGGTGTGTGTGTGTGTGTGTGTGTGTGTGTGTGTGTGTGTGTGTGTGTGTGT